TCGACAGTCATTATATATACATTTTTAGAACATAGTCCCCCAGAAATGAATGTTTGTATTTTTATGCTCTTGTTGGCAAATTCGTCTATGATCGTGTTGTGTACATGTAAATAGCCGAAAATCTTCGTATTCTGAAAAATTATGATTTTTCGACTAAATTCGATTTATTCTGTGCCTGTGCTCTGTAGTTTTCGAGTCGAGAAAAAACATTGAAAGAGTCTCTCCCTTGTTAGTTCTATGATTCAGATAATTTTTAAATTGAACCAAAACATATTTGAATTACGTGTGTTCACCCGATGTTTTTGTCGATTCGAAAGTTACAGAACACAGGCACTGACTAACAGTAAATTTTATTTTAAAATACATTTTTGTTAAAAATTCATGAATCTACTAGTTATTTTTTTCAAAAAACTTTAGTTATCGGTTACTTACATAGTTGCATTTTTCGTACCCTATACCTACACAGGGTTGTATGTTAAGTTCGAAAATAATCGACTGTTATTCGAAAAATGTTTTTTCGACATTGCTAAGTTGGCTGCACTTTTCCTTTTTGATTCGTTGTTGGGAAGAAAAGGTTTGTAAAAAATTTCTGCTGGTGATTTTTTTAAAAATATGTAAAAATTAAAAAAGTTTTGGTTGAAATTTCAATGAAATTAAATGAAAGAAGTGCCTACTAATAAACTAAGCATAAAACATAATGGATTTTAGTAAAGAAAAATGAAAATTTGTGTTAAAATTTCATGAGACAACCACGTGGTGTTTGAACGAAAATTATTTTTGTTTTTTTTGTGGTTATATGGAGAATAAACGTAAATGTGTTCCTATTAAGTGAATTTGTATTGTAACGTTATTAATCAGTGCGTATTTTTGTTTATAACTATTGCAGACTAAACAACAAAATGGGTAAGGGAAATAATATGATTCCAAATGCTCACTTCCACAAGTGGTGGCAACGTCATGTTAAGACCTGGTTCAACCAACCCGCCCGCAAGATCCGCAGGCGCAATAACCGCATTAAGAAAGCCAAGGAAGTCTTCCCCCGTCCCGCTGCTGGTCCCCTCCGTCCCGTAGTCAGATGCCCCACCATCCGTTATCACACCAAGTTGCGTGCTGGTCGCGGTTTCACTTTGGAAGAATTGAAGGTAGGTGTCTAAATATTGACACACTTTTCCCCCCAACCAGCAAGATGTAAACATTAAATATTTTTGTTTGTCTCTTTAGGGTGCCGGTCTTACTGCTGGTTTTGCCAAAACTGTTGGCATCGCTGTTGATCGCAGACGCAAGAACAAATCCATCGAATCCCGTCAACGCAACATCCAACGCTTGAAGGAATACAAGAGCAAATTGATTCTCTTCCCCATCAACGAGAAGAAGATCCGCAAGGGTGAATCTTCTCTTGAAGAATGCAAGTTGGCTACCCAACTTAAGGGCAAGGTTATGCCTATTAAGAAGGAAGAACCCACCATTGAATTCCGTGAAGTTACCAAGGACGAGAAGAAATTCAAGGCTTTCGCTACTTTGCGCAAGGTATGGATGGCCCTGCTTTTTTTTTAACATATTACTATTTTTCTTTAAACTAAATGTTGGGACAATTTCATTAATTTTTGTTTACTTTTTTCTATTTTAGGCTCGTTCTGATGCTCGTCTTGTTGGCATCCGTGCCAAGCAAGCCCGTGAAAACGCTGAAAATGAAGAAAATGCCAAGAAGAAGTAAATTAGTAATGGTGTTTAATAAAACTATAGTTTTATAATAAAAAAATAGTATATGTGTAAATTTTTTTACATTTAAATTGTGTGTTGTTTTTGTAAATATAGAAAGATTTTGACCACCATGTCTAATGATGTTATAAGAAGGTATTAGGGTTAAATAAGACAGTTTCTGGCATGTAATAGAAAAAATTTCGGTATTTTCATAAGCGTACACAAGATTCTAATTGGATTTGGTTATAATCGAGATATTTCTATGCTGTATGTTTACCGTGATATAGATCATGTAAATATTTTGTTGATAAAACGATTATCAAGGGGCTATATTCAAAATTACTTCCGGTTCTAAAGTGAAATTGAGAATTGTTTATAATTGTAACTACCACCGTTAAAGAAGATAATTTTATGCAGAATTTTGGATATTTTTCGATTTTTTATTTAAATTTTTTGTAAAAATTAATCACTTAAAAATTTTCTTCGATGTTTTACGTATTCCTTTTTTAAATTGCCTTTGGTGCATCAGTTAATTTAACATAATATAAGTACCATTGGTTAGTGCTGTGTGAGTTAAGAATTAATTGTTACTGGAGATTTCTGACTGGTCGTCGAAAATTCGAATATCGAAGCAAATGTCTGCTAAAGCAGGCAATGGGAGAGATGATGTTCTACGGATTCTTCGTCGTCCTGGCACCTGCAGAAGTCGTAGGGTAGGCCAAGTTTTCTTACATGGTTCCCAAATAAACAGTGTCCTGCGATGACAGCAGCTAGATTGCTGAGATTAAGACGACAAAATTGAAGGAGATATGGCGTGCATTTACTATCTAAATTTGGTCATATCATTCTGGCAATAGTGCAAGTTGGCTCGTTGTGCCATATTGTCTTCATAAATTTTTTTTATCCAGTTGTTGTTTGCATGTTTTTAACGGAATGTTACAAAAGATATCTATGTTCCTAACGGACATTGAGGCGTCTATTTGCGCTAATTCATCAGCCACACAGTTACCAATCAAATTACCGTACGTACCCATTTGATCACGTCTATTGAATGTCTCGCTATTCTATTTAAGGAAGCCCAGTATTCCTGGACTAGCATGGATGTAATTTATACACCAATCAGAGATTTGATAGCAGTTTGGCCATCGGTATAATTTGCTCTTATTATGGCTGATATTTTAGCCTGCATAGGACTACATTCATTCTGTATTCTAAAACTTATCCTGATCCCAAATTCAAGGATGAAAATGCCGTTTCCCACTCTTTCCCCTTTTTTTGGAAAAGGTCAGTGTAAACAGAAAGAGTTCTCCGGGAGTAGTATTCCTTCGCTGCACAGTTTTCGAAGGTTGTATAACCGAAATTTCTGTGGAGTGCAGTAGTCAATATCTTCTCTGTAATACTTGCGTGGCTGTATGGACGTACATATATCAAAAGGACTGTATATATTGTTAAACAAAAATGACTAAATGTAGGTATGGTAGGAATAAATTGTTAGATAGTATTTACCGACAAAAACGCAAAACAAATAAAAAAGTAAGAAACATTTTAAACAAATTTCTGTACATAATTATTATGTATGTATTTTCGTTTAATTTATTTAATAATAAGACGGAATTTATAAGTAAGAAGCATAAAGTATTGATATTTTTGGCACAAATTCTTAAAAGTTTTTCTCATATTATTTTTTTGGAAAGAAAAAATTATACATAAATTCGTTTATGTTACAATTAAAAAACTAATTGCATATAATATCGATTGATTTATTGGCGTTAGCAGGATTTTGTTGCGTATAAATACTACCCTTGGCCAAACTTGATTGAGGTCCTTTACATAAATCTGCATTATGACCATAGGCTTTATAAGCACGTTCCGTGCGCATGGTAGAATCGGCGCCATTGGCAAGATTTCTTTGACCTTGACAAAAGTCAGGATTTGCACCATTCCAGGTGACATAATCGGCTCTGAAAAAGAATTATAAACAAACCAATATTATATTGTTCATCAAATATAAATTTATATGCAATACACTTACAACAATAAACCTTCATTTGCTCCTTTTGCTAAACTGGCATTGGGACCATTTGTCTGTATACGACCCATTAAAGATTTGAAATCCTTACATAGTTTGTCTGTGGCGGCATCTGTTTGATCTCGATGTGAGTGCCTGTGTTTGGTGATTTTTTAGTTTAAAAGGCATATTTAGTAGAATTAGTTCATAGAAATATTTTTATACATTTTATACATAATTTACTGTATAATTTTATTTTGTAAATGTCGTTCGTATACAAATCGTAACATTTTACATCAATTAACTAAAAGTTATTCCCCTTTCGTAGTAATTTCTTATGATACTCTCGCTTACCAACATGTACCCACTGTGACCTCATTTACCACGAGATATTTTAATAAATGTTAACGATTTTCAGAGGAGGTTTTCGATTTTTTAGAATTGGAGGTTTTGCTGAAAGCTCCATATGTAATGTGGAAAACAATTTTTTATTTTTGAACAGAAATTTACTGTTATCATCAGCCTCTTCCCATTTTTAATAAGAAGAAGGGCAATATTGTTGATTACAAAGTAGTCGTCAATCTATCTATCTATCTATCTATCTATCTATCTATCTATCTATCTATCTATCTATCTATCTATCTATCTATCTATCTATCTATCTATCTATCTATCTATCTATCTATCTATCTATCTATCTATCTATCTATCTATCTATCTATCTATCTAATCTATCTATCTATCTCTATCTCTATCTATCTATCTATCTATCTATCTATCTATCTATCTATCTATCTATCTATCTATCTATCTATCTATCTATCGAGCGAGTCGAGCGAGCGAGCGAGCGAGCGAGCGAGCGAGATAGCGAGCGAGCGAGCGAGCGAAGCGAGCGAGCGAGCGAGCGAGCGAGCGAGCGAGCGGAGCGAGCGAGCGAGCGAGCGCAGCGAGCGTAGCGAGCGAGCGAGCTAGCAGCTAGGAGCGAGCGAGCGAGCCGAGCTAGCGAGCGAGCTGAGCGAGCGAGCGAGCGAGCGAGCGAGCGAGCGATCGAGGCGAGCGAGCAGGAGCGAGCGAGCTAGCTACGTAGCGGCGAGCGAGCGAGCGAGCGAGCGAGGTCGAGGAGCGAGCCTAGCGAGTCGAAGCGAGCGAGGCGAGCGAGGAGCGGAATCTAGCTAGCGAGCGAGCGAGCGATTCGAGCTATCTATCGTATCTAGCGATCTAATCTATCTATCCTGATCTATCTATCTATCGATGCTATCTATCTATCTAGCAGCTTCTATTACTATCTATCTATCTATCTATTCTATCAGCTATCTATCTAGTCTATCTATCTATCTATCTATCTATCTATCTATCTATTACTAAACATCTCATTATTACATTCAAAGAGGAGGAGCACAGTCTTTCAAACGTTGTCTTATCCGTTAAATATGATCAATGTAATAAAAAATCTCAAAGATCATATTTTTAAAATTTGGTTTTGCAAATAGTCTGACTTAACTAAATTTAATATTGGATCCAATGATTACGATATGTATACGACATAATTATAAAATATTACGATCCATATATATTATTTAAAATGATCTAATGAGTCAATGAAGTGAAAAAAGCATGCAAATATGTTGATATTTATAAATCATAAAATATACGAAAAAATACAATATTAAGTTTAAGATTTTTAATGATATACATATAATATTAACTATTTTTTAACTGTGAACTTTTAATATAACTTTTAAAATATGTAATTAAATTAAGTTAAATTTTTTCTACTATATATTCCTGATTAGTATAATTTTGTAAACTCTTAGGGCAACTATAAATCTTTTATAATAAAAATATATATAATTTTCTATATATTTATTATAATTTAAATGGCTACTAATGTGTATATAAACTTTTAAACCTGATATTTTAATAAATTTACAATAAACCGATTAAAAATTTTAAACTTAGGACCTTAATATTTTAAATTTTAAAAACTTCTACGTTTTATAAAGATATAATTTTAAAATTTAAAAAATAAGGTGCATTTAAAATACATTTAATAAAATACATACATTTAAAACAAAAAAATTTAAATAAAAGTTACTGAAAGAAATTCAAATGTCATACTTTAACGTATCGGATTTATCTCGAGAATGTAGGGATAATTTATCCCAAAGTATAGCTGTTACTGGATAAGTTCCACGTATAAAATCATTAGCGCTTATTTTATTATTTGTACGATAACGATCTAAAATACTTTTTGTGGACATGGTAACCGATGAGAGTTTCAAAGTTGAGCTTACAGATGGTATTATGTATTCGTTATCGTTAATATTATCAATATTCGTTGTATCCGTTTTATCGTCTTTAAGTGCCGGGTTTACGTTGATTACAATTTCTTTGCGTAAATTGGCTTCGCTTGATTTTAAGATTGAGGTTAAGGGTTTGCTATTTTTGTTTTGTTAATAACATTTTTATTGTAAAAATAAAGCAATACGAGTATAATGAATTAAAGGTTAAAGCAAAATAAATAAGTTTTCCAAAAATAAACAAAAATGGAAAGCTTTATGGAAAAATGTTATGTATGATGATCAGTTACATATATAGTTAGCTATAAGTGTAATTTTTGTTAATAATTATCACATCTTACCTACTAACACGACCCGATATATTGCCTAAGCCGTCAAGTTCCTCTTGTTTATATTCCAAAGTTGTTGTGTGTGCTAGCTTTGGGGTCTTTTGGAGTTTTTGCTGTTCTTCCTCCTCCTTAACTATTTGTAATATTTGCATAGCCCGATCTTCAGCATAGTTAACCGATTCCAAAGCCATTACCAATATATGATCAACTATTTGTGGATATTTTTCCTTAAGATGAAGTTTGACTGTAAATTTATTAAACAAATTTTAACTATTTTTAAAAATTTATTATTAAATTTTTACTTACTGGCCTCTTTTTCTTCCTCAGTATACTCTTTCGGACGTAATGGTATAATTTTAATTTCATCTTCAATTGTTGGTTTAACACCACCGTTCATTTCATTATGTGGTCGATTGGTAAGTTTTGGTGGAGGAGCAAAATCTTTTTTTATATAACCTAATGAAATCAATTTTTCCGAAGCCTTTTGTACATTATTATCGGCATTTGCTAAAACATCCAGTAATAAAGTTTCATCGGCTTTGGGGAATATAGTTTTCATATATCTGAAGAAAAATTAGAGATCTCTGATTAGAAATATTTCATATAATTAGTGTAGAAACAAAATAACGACGACTTGTAAATTCTTTTTGGTCAAAACGGAGTCTCTTTGATTCTACTTGACAGTTCGCGTGTAGTGAACTACCACGTAAACCAAATTCTTTTTAGGGAATTTACTGATGAGACAATTCATTATATTGCATAAATTATCGGGCCATATTCGACTCTAGTTGCCTTATAAGGTCACCTTCAGAAGATGACATATCAGTCAGGCAACTTTTAACAAAATAGTACTTTTTAGACATTAAAGTACTAAACTAATTTTTCGCTAGACTATAGACTAACTAAATACTAGACTATAGACTAGATTATAGACTATAGACTAGACTATAGACTAGACTATAGATTAGACTATAGACTAGACTATAGACTAGACTATAGATTAGACTATAGACTTGACTATAGACTAGACTATAGATTAGACTATAGATTCGACTATAGACTTGACTATAGACTAGACTATTGACTAGACTATAGACTAGACAATAGACTAGACTTTAGACTATACTATAGACTAGACTATAGACTAGACTATAGACTAGACTATAGACTAGACTATAGACTAGACTATAGACTAGACTATAGACTAGACTATAGACTAGACTATAGACTAGACTATAGACTAGACTATAGACTAGACTATAGACTAGACTATAGACTAGACTATAGACTAGACTATAGACTAGACTATAGACTGGACTATAGACTAGACTATAGACTAGACTATAGACTAGACTATAGACTAGACTATAGACTATAGACTAGACTATAGACTAGACTATAGACTAGCCAATAGACTAACCTATAGACTAGACTATAGACTAGACTATAGACTAGACTATAGACTAGACTATAGACTAGACTATAGACTAGACTATAGACTAGACTATAGACTAGACTATAGACTAGACTATAGACTAGACTATAGACTAGACTATAGACTAGACTATAGACAAGATTATAGACTAGACTATAGACTAGACTATAGACTAGACTATAGACTAGACTATAGACTAGACTATAGACTAGACTATAGACTAGACTATAGACTAGACTATAGACTAGACTATAGACTAGACTATAGACTAGACTATAGACTAGACTATAGACTAGACTATAGACTAGACTAGACTATAGACTAGACTATAGACTAGGACTATAGACTAGACTATAGACTAGACTATAGACTAGACTATAGACTAGACTATAGACTAGACTATAGACTAGACTATAGACTAGACTATAGACTAGACTATAGACTAGACTATAGACTAGACTATAGACTAGACTATAGACTAGACTATAGACTAGACTATAGACTAGACTATAGACTAGACTATAGACTAGACTATAGACTAGACTATAGACTAGACTATAGACTAGACTATAGACTAGACTATAGACTAGACTATAGACTAGACTATAGACTAGACTATAGAACTAGACTATAGACTAGACTATAGACTAGACTATAGACTAGACTATAGACTAGACTATAGACTAGACTATAGACTAGACTATAGACTAGACTATAGACTAGACTATAGACTAGACTATAGACTAGACTATAGACTAGACTATAGACTAGACTATAGACTAGACTATAGACTAGACTATAGACTAGACTATAGACTAGACTATAGACTAGACTATATAGACTAGACTATAGACTAGACTATAGACTAGGACTATAGACTAGACTATCGACTAGACTATAGGACTAGAATATAGACTTAGACTATAGACTAGACTATAGACTAGACTATAGACTAGACTATAGACTAGACTATAGGACTAGACTATAGACTAGCTAAGACTAGACTATAGACTAGACTATAGACTAGACTATAGACTAGACTATAGAACTAGACTATAGACTAGACTATAGACTAGACTATAGACTAGACTATAGACTAGACTATAGACTAGACTATAGACTAGACTTAGACTAGCTATGACTAGGACTATAGACTAGACTATAGACTAGACTATAGATCGACTATAGACTAGACTATAGACTAGACTCATAGACTTAGACTATAGACTAGACTATAGACTAGACTATAGACTAGACTATAGACTAGACTATAGACTAGACTATAGACTAGACTATAGACTAGACTATAGACTAGACTATAGACTAGACTATAGACTAGACTATAGACTAGACTATAGACTAGACTATAGACTAGACTATAGACTAGATAGACTAGACTATAGACTAGACTATAGACTAGACTATAGACTAGACTATAGACTAGACTATAGACTAGACTATAGACTAGACTATAGACTAGACTATAGACTAGACTATAGACTAGACTATAGACTAGACTATAGACTAGACTATAGACTAGACTATAGACTAGACTATAGACTAGACTATAGACTAGACTATAGACTAGACTATAGACTAGACTATAGACTAGACTATAGACTAGACTATAGACTAGACTATAGACTAGACTATAGACTAGACTATAGACTAGACTATAGACTAGACTATAGACTAGACTATAGACTAGACTATAGACTAGACTATAGACTAGACTATAGACTAGACTATAGACTAGACTATAGACTAGATTATAGACTAGACTATAGACTAGACTATAGACTAGACTATAGACTAGACTATAGACTAGACTATAGACTAGACTATAGACTAGACTATAGACTAGACTATAGACTAGACTATAGAGTAGATTATAAACTAGACTATATACTAGACTATAGACCAGATTATAGACTAGACTATAGAATAGAATACAGACTGGTTTATTGATTGCTATGTGGATGAAAGGCTTATAAGTTAAAAAAAGTATCGGAAATGTCGTGGGGTACTATTGCGGAATTTTTCGATATCAAAAAGTACTGAAAAAAATATCAAAGTACTGAATTTTATACGTCTGGTTTCGGAATATTTAATCCTCATAAGTTTTTACCTCTGGTGTAATATTAGTACAGTGCTTGGAGTATTGGAGCAACGATTTTCAAATATTTTGATTCAAAACTTTTTAACCGTTCATTGCTGCATATATTCTTTTAAAACTTTTTAACGGTTTCAGCTATTTTTATTCAATAATTTTTAACGTTTTCGTAGACTAAATTTATAAGTCCCTTCATTTAGGGCATATTTAGTTTAGAAAGCGGATAGGCGATCTATTCTAAGGTTTTTACCAATTTTGCTTTATTCAATATTTAAAAGATATAAACTCTGATGTAGAATTAATTAAACTGTTTGTTTCAATATATTTCGAATTCAGATCAGATCTCAGTTGTTAAAGTCGTTGTCGTCTTGTTTCTACACTTAAGATATATAAAAATCAGTTGGATTATAAATTTGGCGTTATAATAAAAAATAATGTTAAAACTTATAAATAAATATAAAATCAACTAAATACACAGGCCAACAAAGTTTTCAACCCAGAAAGAAAAAGTATACTTTTCTTAAAGATTGAACAGTGTTGAATCCGAATCTGGCTAAACCTTTATTTTATATAAACAGATTAGACTCTCAGATGATTTGACAGATTTTATAAACAAAGGTTATAACGCTGTTATAACGTCTCAAATAAGTCCAAAAAAGGTCAATATAGCTAAATCCTTTAGAGAAGTATACTCTCCGGGTTTCCACATGTTTCAAATTCTGTTGTCCTGTGATATTATATAGGCGAACGCAGGAGAATAATCAAAACTGAAATAAATCTTAAAACACTTCGAAAGTCAAACCTCAATTTCATTTTTGGCGACGAATGCGGTTTCGGTGAGCAACGCATTTGATCACCAAAACGTGGTGACGCCTGATATGGTGGCACAGCCATATGGCCCATAATACCGTGGCCACCACTATTTATACTAATGACACTACCAAGACGACCTGGTGGTACTGGACTGGCCGTGCGCGAATAGCACGTGTAATCAAGGCCACGTAAATGTGAGCCAGTATCAAAACGTCGAGCTGGTGGTGTCATATGAATGGCCGAGTTGCTGTGGAATAAATGACGTTGTGCTGGTGGTGTAACGTATGGTCCTGGCATAGTGACTGGATGTTTTTCTACTTGTAAAGCACTGATAACAACAGCTTCGCGATTATAATATCTAAGGCAGTGGGGTTAATTACAAGTTTATCCAAAAAAATTACAAGAGTGGAGGCATAAAGAAAGCAGCGTGAAAATTAAAGTTATTATTTGGAGTTAGTAATTTTAAAGTTGGGTGTTTAGATTAGTTTTAAGGCTATTTAATTTAATCAGAAATTTATCACAAAATTTAACTTACTTTTTCAGAAGTAATCGTATATGATTTTCACTAGCTGTTGGAAACATATTTTGTATTTTATGAACCACCGCATCGGTATCAATTTGATTTGTAAAAGATGTTTCCTGTATGGTAGAACGTCTCGACATATTGACTGTACGAGGAGCTTGAGCAAATTGGGTTTTGGGAGCGGGTATTGGAGACATATCCTGGCAAAAATAATTTTTTAATAACAAAATTTGAATCAAAATAAATGATCTCTTAAAACTTACATTGATCAATTGTGTTCTGGAAGATGTCAACAGTGGACTGGTAGACATATGATGAAGACTAGAATTTGGTGTTTGGAAGGCTCGCATTGCAGGCATATTATTAGTTGGATAGACATGATATGGCGAACCGCCTGGTCCATGGAAAGACTGCAATTGAAAAATTAGAATAAAAATGTTAACAATATATTGGTTACTTTGTAATAGGGTTAAAAACTACTTACATGCATGGCTATAGATTCATTGGAGCACCGTTCATTTTGTAAAGGGCGATAACGTGTGGAACGTGGATCTTCAAGTTGCATCGCTTTGGTTATGTAGTTTATGTAGTAACTGAAAGCAGATATAGAAATAATTATAAAAGCTTTTTACAAATTTGTAAAGTTCTAAAGGAGATTTATAATTTAAATCTCGAAACGATATTTTTAGAGTTATGTCAGTTTTATGGCAAATTAGCGATATCCATATTTACACAGTAATAATGAGATAATTTCTTACAGACTACTTAGCCGAGCTGATTGAATGCAGCCTTAAGTTACTAAATATGGACTTGACTAAAGAATATGACGACTAAATGCGAGATAACTCTGCAAGACCCCTTATCAACTACGCAGCATGACAATAAATTTCCAGGAAGATCTGCGAAATCGTCATCTCAGCAGCTACTTGCTATATTCCTGCCATGCTCTCAGGCTTTTAGATGAGCGAGATAACATCCAAATTACCAATTCTGGCGATCCAATAGTTGCCAATATCTATAAAAATGTCACAAGGACTCCCTTCTCCTAAAACCTTGTCCGGAAAATGCAGAGCACATTTTTGGAAACAGCAGTATATACCATACAATCCACCGCCACTTAGATCTTACAAACAGTAGAGACCTTGAAAAGGCTCCTTGCCTTGCGTCTGTTTCCCATATTAGGCGGCTGGTGGGCTGCGTCTGTTTCCCCAGTAGGGACCGCAGTTTAACCTCACCTAGCAGTAGGTTGAAAATGCAACCCGTCCACAAGGACAAAATGGAAAGAAAGAAAGAAGCATGCCCCACATACCCGGTCAGGGACTTCATAATTCCCGGGAATCCTACTCCCACGGCGTCGGTAATGGGCCGTGAAGAGTCGAATGCGACTGTTACTAGGGCTAGTCAGGCGGCAACACCGGGCCAGAAAAGTCTGCGAGCTACCGGCATAGCAGGAAGTCAGTCTGACACACCCGGGAAGTCAGTCTGGCACCCCAGAAATAAAAATCTGTTAGTAGTTATTCCCAAGTGGCGAGGCACCAATGGATTTCTTTGCAGGCACCTCTAAAGCTGCTTCAGTCCAAACCGTAAAAGTGGTTGAACACCCTTCTTCGGGTCCTGTTGGAAAGTGTTCAGCTAATTCATCTCTTCCTTCAGGTTCGCAAGTGCCCTCTATACAATTCAGTGATGAATGTCTATACATGCAAGAAGGCAGTTGGTACAACCTGCAAGAAGGCAGTTGGTACAACGTGAGGAATAAACCCGAAAGGTATTAACTGGATTTTCAAGGCAGTAGTCAAACCCATATTGTTTTATGGAGTTATAGTATGGTGGCAAGCGGTGGAGCATACTTCTCACTTATTATAGGAGCAATGAAGGCAACGCCAACCAAAGCACTGCTAACCATGTTAAACTGGTTACCAGCTGACTTAATGGCTGTCCAACTTGCCATCAACTCTGCGATCAGACAAAATGCCTGTTGATCGTGGTCTGGTCACAGAAATTACGGGCACTCTAGAATTTTAAAACACTTCGAATCACTGCATTTAAATGTTGACTATTGCCTTACGAAGCCTAACATCGATAATCTCTTTCGCACCAGGATTCCACATAGGAATTCCGAATTAGAAACACAACCACCCCCAGGTGCAACGAGAGTTTATACTGATGGCTCCAAGAAGTGGTTTCTTTATTGAAGGATTTGGTATTAAATCATCCTTCAGACTGCCTTACTACGGTAGTGTTCTTCAGGCAGAAATATCTGCTATCAAACGTGCAGCGAATTGGCTAAGGTACTATCACATATCGGGGGATATATGTATGTATACATATATACTGACAACAAAGCTGCTATCAAAAATCTAACGGGTGTCTTCACGACATCTAGGTTAATCAAAGAATGCCGAGTATCACTCTACGAGATACCGAAACATTCTAGGATAACACTAATATGGGTCCCTGGTCACGATAAATTTCAGGGTAACTGTATAGCTAATGAATTAGCCATAACTGGCACAATGCCTTTACTGGAATCTCTTTTACGAACTGTAAGAAACTTGTTCTTAATAAACTGTATAGGAAAGCCAAAATCAGGTGGTTCAGTTCTGAAAGCAGAGAGTGACATCTGAACACACTCCTGCTACCACTAGGGTAACACAACGGGACCAACTTAAATGGACCCAAGTGAGCTGCTTTTGTAGCAGCTGCCTTCGATACCTAACCTATAATTGGACACGACCGATTATATGATATCTTACATTGGTTGGTCAAATTATTCCCGATATTATCCAGTTTTATTGTCGAGTTTATATTTTAAATTTGGACCTCAAGGAAATGATGTTATATCTTTATTAATCAAACGGAACACAAACAAAGATTTAAGATCGTTTTAAAAGTTTAATACAACCGAGGTGTCCCATTTTGGATATACGTAATCCCGTTCCTAGAGGATTCATAAGTTCAAAATTCAAAACATAAACTAGAAAACACTTCCTCTTACGTACTCCATTCAAATAGGCTTAATTGATTTATATCGCTTTATTTTTACTATACCACTGTGCAATAAAGGGTCTTCTTCAGTTAATGACTATAACTTTGAGAACTGGACTTAAAATATTTGTAAGATATGGTTTAAAAATCTTTCTATTAAGAAGTATATTCCACAATATTGTCTATATTCTAAGAAATTTAACGCTATCGAATTCTATAAATATCGGCTCGTCATTGTCCCCAATAAATTTACTCATGTTTTAGAATATTTTTAAACCTAATGCATTCGGTAAAAAATCTACTAATTAAATTCAATTTATTTCAAATATGGAATTATGATTTCATTTAATGTTTTTAAAAACATGTTTAACATTTGACATATAAATTTATATTTAAGAAATGTACCAGCAGCATTTTTGTCAAGTACGTACTTGTTTAGCTGTATGTATGTACTTCCAGATCCCCGTCTAATGTCATATGTCCTTGTTTGTTTTGAAATTTGTTTAACATTTTTAAATTAACATACAGAAACCTTATATACACACTCCAACGAATATACTACATACATACATATGGCGTCACACAAACATACAAACTCTGTTATAGAAGATACAAAAACAAAATCCTCTTAAAGCCTTAAAGTATCAAGGAGACAAGTACTTGTACGTAGTACATTTGTTTTTATTTGCAAACGACCTAATTTTTAGGGTTTAAATCACGTAATATAAAGTCATCGTCACATTAGCCATATTTAAGTAAATGCCTTAAAGTATGCAATTGTTAGAATAAAATTCAACAATTTAAAACGGCATAAAAATTCATTTCTAACACGCACTCACACATACACTCTGTCAAATGTACAACTTAATGTCCGCCATATTGAAAATATTTGTACAAACAAAGGGTTTTTAATGACCACTTACCAATTTCCGGTCGTCTGGTCATATTGCAATCCCATCCGGGAGGGTAATTTTGATATTGCCTGCCACCGGAATCGGCCATCATGAAATTATGTTACAATTACACAAATAAACACACAAAAACTAATTAATTGTTTAATTTTATCAAAAATAACTTAATATTTGAGCAGTTAATTGCGTTTTGTTATTTTCTAGTTTGCTTTATTTATATATGTATATTGTGGTTTCCTTTGGACAACAACCACCTTTAACCACCAACCAACCCCCTGCAATGTTTCTCTATAGTAAATAACAAAAACAACGTTCTATATAATACCGTTTTCCGCCGTAAGTTTGTTAAACGTCATAAGCTTCACGAAGCACTGATTTCAATTGCTAATAATTATTTTCAATCACTCTTTAAGCTTTTTCTTTTGTTGTTGCTGCTGTTTGAATCATGCAGTTTTACTGCTCTCTTCTTAAATCTCTTAAAGTGTGCTAAAAACGAATTTGCGTATAAAAACAAAACGGCCAAAAATAATGTGCTTGGGGGTTTGTTGTTTTCGTGGAGTAGAATGTAAACAAACTTCCTTTAACCACCACTCATCTTTTGTTTTTGGTTTGTTGTAAGTTTTGCCGTCTCTAGTGGGAATTTTGAAAAAAGGAAATAAAAACATAACGGCACATGGTGAAGTTTCTGCGCAGTAGTTTTATTTTGTCGGTGTTAAACCGATTGGGAAGCAGGATAATTTTTGAAAGGAAGTGTGTACATACATTCCAGAAGTCTATTAACTTCAGTTTAGTTTAGTTAGTTAGTTAGTTTAGTTAACTTAGTTAGTTAGTTAGTTTAGTTAGTAGTTAGTTAGTTAGTTGTTTAGTTAGTTAGTTAGTTAGTTAGTTAGTTGGTTAGTTAGTTAGTTGTAGTAGTTAGTTAGTTAGTTAGTAGTAGTTAGTAGTTAATAGTTCGTTATTGTAGTTAGTTAGTTAGTTAGTAGTTAGTTAGTTAGTTAGTTAGTTAGTTAGTTAGTTAGTTAGTTAGTTAGTTAGTTAGTTAGTTAGTAGTTAGTAGTTAGTTAGTTAGTTAGTTTAGTTAGTTAGTTAGTAGTTAGTTAGTTAGTAGTTAGTTAGTTAGTTAGTAGTTAGTTAGTTAGTTAGTTAGTGTTAGTTAGTTAGTTAGTTAGTTAGTTAGTTAGTAGTTAGTTAGTTAGTTAGTTAGTTAGTTAGTTGTAGTTAGTTAGTTAGTTAGTTAGTTGTTAGTTAGTTAGTTAGTTAGTTAGTTAGTAGTTCGTTAGTTAGTAGTTAGTTAGTTAGTTAGTTAGTTAGTTAGTAGTTAGTTAGTTAGTTAGTTAGTTAGTTAGTTAGTTAGAGTAGTTAGTTAGTAGTAGTTAGTAGTTAGTTAGTTGTTAGTTAGTTAGTTAGTTAGTTAGTTAGTTAGTTAGTTAGTTAGTTAGTTAGTTAGTTAGTTAGTTAGTTAGTTAGTTAGTTCGTTAGTTAGTTAGTTAGTTAGTTAGTTAGTTAGTTAGTAGTTAGTTAGTTAGTTAGTTAGTTAGTTAGTTAGTTAGTTAGTTAGTTAGTTAGTAGTTAGTTAGTTAGTGTAGTTAGTTAGTTAGTAGTTAGTTAGTTAGTTAGTTAGTTAGTTAGTTAGTTAGTTAGTTAGTAGTTAGTTAGTAGTTAGTTAGTTAGTTAGTTAGTAGTTAGTTAGTTAGTTAGTTAGTTAGTTAGTAGTTAGTTAGTTAGTTAGTTAGTTAGTAGTTAGTTAGTTAGTTAGTTAGTTAGTTAGTTAGTTAGTTAGTTAGTTAGTTAGTTAGTTAGTTAGTAGTAGTTAGTTAGTTAGTTAGTTAGTTAGTTAGTTAGTTAGTTAGTTAGTTAGTTAGTTAGTTAGTTAGTTAGTTAGTTAGTAGTTAGTTAGTTAGTTAGTTAGTTAGTTAGTTAGTTAGTTAGTTAGTTAGTTAGTAGTTAGTTAGTTAGTTAGTAGTTAGTTAGTTAGTTAGTTAGTAGTTAGTTAGTTAGTTAGTTAGTTAGTTAGTTAGTTAGTTAGTTAGTTAGTTAGTTAGTTAGTAGTTAGTTAGTTAGTAGTTAGTTAGTTAGTTAGTTAGTTAGTTAGTTAGTTAGTTAGTTAGTTAGTTAGTTAGTTAGTTAGTTAGTTAGTTAGTTAGTTAGTTAGTTAGTTAGTTAGTTAGTTAGTTAGTTAGTTAGTTAGTTAGTTAGTTAGTTAGTTAGTTAGTTAGTTAGTTAGTAGTTAGTTAGTTAGTTAGTTAGTTAGTTAGTTAGTAGTTAGTTAGTTAGTAGTTAGTTAGTTAGTTAGTTAGTTAGTTAGTTAGTTAGTTAGTTAGTTAGTAGTTAGTTAGTAGTTAGTTAGTTAGTTAGTTAGTTAGTTAGTTAGTTAGTTAGTAGTTAGTTAGTAGTTAGTTAGTTAGTTAGTTAGTTAGTTAGTTAGTTAGTTAGTTAGTTAGTTAGTTAGTTAGTTAGTTAGTTAGTTAGTTAGTTAGTTAGTTAGTTAGTTAGTTAGTTAGTTAGTTAGTTAGTTAGTTAGTTAGTTAGTTAGTTAGTTAGTTAGTTAGTTAGTTAGTTAGTTAGTTAGTTAGTTAGTTAGTTAGTTAGTTAGTTAGTTAGTTAGTTAGTTAGTTAGTTAGTTAGTTAGTTAGTTAGTTAGTTAGTTAGTTAGTTAGTTAGTTAGTTAGTTAGTTAGTTAGTTAGTAGTTAGTTAGTTAGTTAGTTAGTTAGTTAGTTAGTTAGTTAGTTAGTTAGTTAGTTAGTTAGTTAGTTAGTTAGTTAGTTAGTTAGTTAGTTAGTTAGTTAGTTAGTTAGTTAGTTAGTTAGTAGTTAGTTAGTTAGTTAGTTAGTTAGTTAGTTAGTTAGTTAGTTAGTTAGTTAGTTAGTTAGTTAGTTAGTTAGTTAGTAGTTAGTTAGTTAGTTAGTTAGTTAGTTAGTTAGTTAGTTAGTTAGTTAGTTAGTTAGTTAGTTAGTTAGTTAGTTAGTTAGTTAGTTAGTTAGTTAGTTAGTTAGTTAGTTAGTTAGTTAGTTAGTTAGTTAGTTAGTTAGTTAGTTAGTTAGTTAGTTAGTTAGTTAGTTAGTTAGTTAGTTAGTAGTTAGTTAGTTAGTTAGTTAGTTAGTTAGTTAGTTAGTTAGTTAGTTAGTTAGTTAGTTAGTTAGTAGTTAGTTAGTTAGTTAGTTAGTTAGTTAGTTAGTTAGTTAGTTAGTTAGTTAGTTAGTTAGTTAGTTAGTTAGTTAGTTAGTTAGTTAGTTAGTTAGTTAGTAGTTAGTTAGTTAGTTAGTTAGTTAGTTAGTTAGTTAGTTAGTTAGTTAGTTAGTTAGTTAGTTAGTTAGTAGTTAGTTAGTTAGTTAGTTAGTTAGTAGTTAGTTAGTTAGTTAGTTAGTTAGTTAGTTAGTTAGTTAGTTAGTTAGTTAGTTAGTTAGTTAGTTAGTTAGTTAGTTAGTTAGTTAGTTAGTTAGTTAGTTAGTTAGTTAGTTAGTTAGTTAGTTAGTTAGTTAGTTAGTTAGTTAGTTAGTTAGTTAGTTAGTTAGTAGTTAGTTAGTTAGTTAGTAGTTAGTTAGTTAGTTAGTTAGTTAGTTAGTTAGTTAGTTAGTTAGTTAGTTAGTTAGTTAGTTAGTTAGTTAGTTAGTTAGTTAGTTAGTTAGTTAGTTAGTTAGTTAGTTAGTTAGTTAGTTAGTTAGTTAGTTAGTTAGTTAGTTAGTTAGTTAGTTAGTTAGTTAGTTAGTTAGTTAGTTAGTTAGTTAGTTAGTTAGTTAGTTAGTTAGTTAGTTAGTTAGTTAGTTAGTTAGTTAGTTAGTTAGTTAGTTAGTTAGTTAGTTAGTTAGTTAGTAGTTAGTTAGTTAGTTAGTTAGTTAGTTAGTTAGTTAGTTAGTTAGTTAGTTAGTTAGTTAGTTAGTTAGTTAGTTAGTTAGTTAGTAGTTAGTTAGTTAGTTAGTTAGTTAGTTAGTTAGTTAGTTAGTTAGTTAGTTAGTTAGTTAGTTAGTTAGTTAGTTAGTTAGTTAGTTAGTTAGTTAGTTAGTTAGTTAGTTAGTTAGTAGTTAGTTAGTTAGTTAGTTAGTTAGTTAGTAGTTAGTTAGTTAGTTAGTTAGTTAGTTAGTTAGTTAGTTAGTTAGTTAGTTAGTTAGTTAGTTAGTTAGTTAGTTAGTTAGTTAGTTAGTTAGTAGTTAGTTAGTTAGTTAGTTAGTTAGTTAGTTAGTTAGTTAGTTAGTTAGTTAGTTAGTTAGTTAGTTAGTTAGTTAGTTAGTTAGTTAGTTAGTTAGTTAGTTAGTTAGTTAGTAGTTAGTTAGTTAGTTAGTAGTTAGTTAGTTAGTTAGTTAGTTAGTTAGTTAGTAGTTAGTTAGTTAGTTAGTTAGTTAGTTAGTTAGTTAGTTAGTTAGTTAGTTAGTTAGTTAGTTAGTTAGTTAGTTAGTTAGTTAGTTAGTTAGTAGTTAGTTAGTTAGTTAGTTAGTTAGTTAGTTAGTAGTTAGTTAGTTAGTTAGTTAGTTAGTTAGTTAGTAGTTAGTTAGTTAGTTAGTTAGTTAGTTAGTTAGTTAGTTAGTAGTTAGTTAGTTAGTTAGTAGTTAGTTAGTTAGTTAGTTAGTTAGTTAGTTAGTTAGTTAGTTAGTTAGTTAGTTAGTTAGTTAGTTAGTTAGTTAGTTAGTAGTTAGTTAGTTAGTTAGTTAGTTAGTTAGTTAGTTAGTTAGTTAGTTAGTTAGTTAGTTAGTTAGTAGTTAGTTAGTTAGTTAGTTAGTTAGTTAGTTAGTTAGTTAGTTAGTTAGTTAGTAGTTAGTTAGTTAGTTAGTTAGTAGTTAGTTAGTTAGTTAGTTAGTTAGTAGTTAGTTAGTTAGTTAGTTAGTTAGTTAGTAGTTAGTTAGTCGTTTAGTAGGGAGGGGAGGGAGGAGGGAGGGTAGGGGAGTGAGGTAGGGAAGGAGGGAGGGAGGGAGGTAGGGAGGAGTAGGTAGTTAGGAGGAGGGAGGGAGGGAGGGAGGAGTAGGGAGGGAGTTGTAGGAGGGAGGGACGAGGGAGGGACGGGTAGGGAGTTAGGTAGGAGGAGGTGAGTGAGTGAGGGAGGGAGGGAGGAGTGAGGAGTGGGAGGGAGGAGGAGGGAGGGAGGGAGGAGGAGGGAGGGA